AAAGAAAAAAAATGAACTGACACAATGTTAAAACAAAGCTAATTTCTCTATTAAGTCGGTAGGGACCTAATCATTTCTATCTCCTTGGACTGTTCCAAGGTCTTTTAAGTCTTGTTACAACACTGTTCTAAGGATTTCACAAGGTCATGGCTCAGCATTACACAATGTTGTATGACCCCCCTTGCACCAGATATTTTTTTATATTAGGTCCTTACAACTTCTTTATGAAAGCATTTAGACCTACAAGTGACCTTAAAGAGTGAATCAGTTCAACCCACTAATTTCAACCCATTAATGTCATAACCTCTTCAGACTAACGAGCTTGCTCAGTACTTGACAGCCTTTCACAGCTTTCCTTAATATGAGCTGCTCTATCTATGTACATAAATTTTCAGAGTTCTTTGTAGGTTGCCAGCTTTAACAAATAAAAAACAGTTAAATCTAAATTTGATAAACAAATAACTTTTTTAGCCTAAGTATGTCTGGAACATTGCATGATGACTAAAAAACCCATTTGTTGTTTATCTGAAATTCAAATTTAACCAGGAATACTGTATTTTAACTGACAACTCTAGTTCTGTGGAGTTTAAAGAGTTGCCCAATGAGATCTATGGACTACTGATTCCCTGTACAACAGGAAATAGTGAATTAGGAGCACAAATTTAAGTTGCCAACACAATTATGACACAGGCTGTTAGAGCTGAGGGGGACCTTGGAGACAGCTTGTCCAGTGTTCTCACGTTAAAGATTAGGGGAAGAGTCCTAGCAGATGCCACAGATGCCAATCAAGTGTCATTTCCAAGATACAGTATGAATTTCCTACCTCCATACCTCTGTTCAAGCCAAGCCCTCCCTCAGTACAAGCCGGGCGTAACACTGCAAACTTCATATCACTTGCACAATATAGAGTAAGAAATACTAGCTAAACCAATGTGCACCTTTCCCTCAGCTGCTTCTCCCTTACTTCATTTCTTTCTTTCTCCTTCACATCCTCCTCACTGACCAAACTAAACAATAATTGTACTCACTCAATACTACATAAAGCAGATAAGTAGAAAATTCTCTTTAAAAACAGTTTCCACTTAAATCCTTGAACTATTCCCTCCATCCCCGTCTGCTTCCTTCTCCCCTCACCTTCACTTCCCACTCCATACTCCCTTTTCCCCTGGGGTCTGTGATTCTGCATAAAAAATGCTCCCCTCCCACTTTCGATTTTTAAAATAAATAGCAATGGCAGTAGGGACAGACTGCCCTTTTCACCTATTTGAAACTTCCTGCACAAATGAACACAATAAGGACTTTGTGTTCTTGCTGGGAAGGGGAGAAGGAGCAAAAGAGAAATAGAAGGGGAATTTGAAAAGAAATGGAAAATAAAATCAGGTGTCCAGCTTGTCTAGAGAGGAATAAAGGTCAGAAATAATCTAATAAGCCATAAAAACCAAATTTCCTTATTTTAATCACTAAATCTTCAAGAACAGGCCCTTAAAAACAGCACATGTACCTATATATTAAATACAGTAATACCTTGGTTTGTGAGCATAATTCTATCTGTAAACAAACTACTTGCATTGCAAGATATCGCTCATTTACCACGTTAAAACGCATTAGAAATGTTTGCTTGTCTCACAAACCAAGTTACTTGCAATCCAAGGTTTTACTGTAATTTTCTTTTCTTAGCCAAAATTGGAAATTATCTCAGATAACTGGAAGTTACCTAATAATCAAGTATTTAAACACTTATAATGAATCAACGAATCACTAATTGGAAAAGACATCCACCAGAAATGACCTTGGATCATTGTAGTTTTACAGGCTTACTTAGGTAACTTAAGGAAATCAGGAAAAATACAATGTAACACACCATTAAAACAGTACACAAATCACACTGACCAGGTTAAAACTGGTTCTGCTGCCTTATAGCAGATCAGTGAATAATACAATCCTTGAGTTACACAGGCAGCACTGAACATGTGCCACCCCTGTCCTCCAGCTGCACCAGGGACCAAAGTCTCGCCCTTCCCCCAGGACCAAAGGATGGGGACGTGACTAGAACTTGGGCACCAGAACACTTTCAGAAGCAAAGGGTCCGCTGTCCAGGAAGATCCAGTGCTGAAGCCCCTTACCATAAATGGCCAAGCTCCAAGGTCCTCCAGTTAAAACTTGCCCAGCCAGCACTTCCATATTCCTGTTCCCCTAACTCCTTACAACCCTCTGATTGTAAGACATTGGGGCGGTTGGGGGTTTAAGCGATACAGCTTCCCATTCTCCTTGCTTATCAGCACTCCACAAATAAAGCAACTCATTTCTCCATTGCAGAATTCGGGGTTCAGCGTTTGACACCACTGTGCGTGGGAAGGGGGGCACACACAAACTCTCCTCCTGTTTGGTTACACTATTAACTAGGAATCTGGACCCACAGTTTCAAGCCTAGTAAATATACCTTTTGAATACCAGTTTATAAAGCAATACGATAAGCTGTTACATTGTAGAAATCACCAATCTATCTACAGAATAAATTTGGGAGGAATCCTTAATGTTAAGCAAATAGATACTTATACTAAAATACTTGTACTTAAGATGCTTGTACTAAAATTTCTAGCGACAGCATCGTCCCAGGGTTGGAAGATAAACTAAAAAACTAGCTCTGATAATTACAAAGACACAAATACCAAAGTGAATGTACATAATTGTGCATACACTGTTTTATGAGCTGTGATTTCTAAGATATTTGGTCTTCACCCACAGTTCTGGCTCACAGCTCCCAAAACCTTTGGAACTTCCTATATGTTAAAGACTGGTAAACTGTCTTCTGCTGTGTTCATGAGATGACCTTTGGACCACGCCCATGGGTGGGGGGTGGTTGCAGGGAGAACCAACCGTGCATTTAAAGGCTTCCTTCTAAAGGAGAGTGCAGGCTGGCCAATGGCTCAGTTGGTTAAGAGCTTACTCAAGAGTTTGAGCTCTGAGCAACAGCAGTTCAATTCCCAGGTGGCAGGATGGCTCAGCTTAAAAGAAAAAGGGGGGGGGGCAGTCTTGTGGGGCTGAGCCCTTCACCTGTGAGATCTGATTTTATCTCCAGGTACACAGTATCAGAATTGAGTTGAATTCTTAGACACCGTTGCTGGCATCCGAGATTTGCTTGTTGGAGTGGAGGGAACCCCCATGTTGGAAATGGGTTCAGGAACCCCATTCAAATATGATTATAAAAATACCTAAATTCGTTATTCTATATAAGTGCCTATGTGCATGCATGCACACAAAAATTAAATAAATAAAAGCAGGTTATTTCATCTACACTACTGGGTATTTATATATTCACGTTGACCAATACATTTTGGAAATAATCTCATTAGGAAAAAGGGAGGCTGCCTTGGATTTGAAGTCAATTTACATTCAGGCACACACAATATTAATAGGTTATAAATTTTTAAAAATTGCTCTTTGTCCTGCAGAATTTCCTGCAGGCACTGCTGAATTCTGACTTGTAGAAATGTCTGCCCCGCTTGACATGGCTCCACTGATACTGACACGGGTCAAGCGAGTAGTAGCCCCCACACCCGGACAACTTTTAAGTTTTTCTATAGAAATTTTATGTCTCCTCTTCCCTAGTTTCTTAGCCCCTGGCTTTGATTACTCTTCTAATCAGTTTTTGAATCCTAGATAAAGACTGCCCTTAGACTGAATCACAGAATATCTCCCACCCCAGCTTTAGATAACTACTTAAAAGCCTGTGACTTCCCAACATCCTCCAGGCCATTCTGGACCTAACTCTTGGATAATCCCATCCCAGAGAGTAAATAGGTTTTAACATTTCCCCAGGCCAGTCTACTTGTTGATTGTAAACATTAAAGGCTAATGTTCTTTCCAAACCCATAGCCACCCAACATCAATGGCTTTGAGCTCTGCTCATTAAGAAATTTATTAATTAAAATCTATTTTTCCTCATTCAGGGGCCTTGGGGATACAGAGGGCACCCCAGAAAGATTGCCAGTCGCAACCAAAGAAGCCAACACGGTCTTCCAGGTGGAGCTCGAGACCCCTTCCTCTCATCTGAGATCAGCTAGGGCGAGAGTTCCATGAATCCAACAATAGGCAGGGACAGCTCTACGCCCCTGCCCAGCAGGAAGCAGATACAGAAGGAAAGACCTGTTCCTCAGCTTCCCATAGAGATTTTATGGGGATCAGGTCTCTCAAGGGGAAAACAAGGCAGGCAGTTAGAGGCAGGCATTGGGGTCTCCACATTCCTGCATGTCCCACAGAATGCTCCACCCAAAAGACTTCCCCTCTCCACCTAAAACTTTTTTTCTAATAAACTCCTTTTCTAAAGAGATGAGATCAATCAGGTGGTCCCACATCTAGAGAGGAACAGCCCATTCTAGAGGAAGAAGGGATAAAAACTCCAAGTCCTGGCCAGTCAACACCTTTTGAGCGTTCTGAGCCTTGCCTCTGCTCAGGGCCACTCCAAACTTTTGGAGTGTACTTTTTCTTTTAATAATGGCCCTTGAGCCATTCTCTACTCCATGGCCTGCTTCTGCTTCTTTGAAATGTATTATTTTCTCCTAATAAACTGTCTTTTTCTGCAACTTGACCTCTCTGGTTCATGTCTCCATTCTTCAGTTCCACGAGACCACGATCCCGGCACACAAAAAATTACTCATCAACAAATCCTGCATCACTATGAACCTTGATAGATGCTTTCACAAAACACTTACACAGACATTCACGTAGACATTCAACGGGGTCATGGTTCACTCAAACCACTTTCTGCTGGTAAATGCCGGAAATGAAAGTGGTGGGTCGGGTAGAAAAGAAAAGGGCAACCTGGTTCTTGTGTAGGATGACAAGGTGGCAAACCTCGTTTTCCTGTGCCACAGCAGGACCATGTCAACTGATATGAAAGGCAAATAGTTCCTTAAGCAGTTTAGCATTAAGAGTTTTACTAAACCAAACTCTTACCCTAAAGCTCCACATTTTTGTCTCTGGAAAAGGGAGTTACTTACCTCTGCCTCTGCTGTCAACTGTATCTTCTTTGCTATCAAGTGTTTTATGTCTAACCGACCTAAGGGGAAAAAAATGTAACTTTTAAATTGATGGATATGGCTGCCTACAAGCACTATTTAAGTCATGAAGTTGAAAAACAAACAAGCAAAAGAGAATGACTATGTGAACTCAGGTACAACCACAAAAACATGGCAGCTCTTAAAAAGGAAGCATGGGGAAGATAAACGCAAGGAAATTTATACATAAGAATCCTAAATAGAAAGAAACACAACTACTATGCTCGCATGTACATACAGTAATTATAACTGTGAACCATATGATGCTATAAGATCCAATTCTGACCACATGGGGAATTAGACTGGATGGATGGATCCTGCAACTGTGACTACTAAAATACACAAGCAACATTTAAAAATTACATAAACTGAACGTCATCAAAAATTTAAAAAAACCACAACCCCCCCCCCAAAAAAAACAACCTTTTTTGCTGCAAAGGACATGACACCATCAAGAAAGTAAAAAGACAAGCCACAGAATTGGGGGGGGGGGGATTGCAAATCTGATCAGGAACTTGTGTCCAGAATGTATAAAGAACGCTTACAAATCAATAATTAAAAGACCAACAATCCAATGTAAATATAAGCAAAGTGTTATAGCACGGTGGAAAGCTTTCGCTTCTCTCGCATCTGGCTCTTACCATCAATTCCAGCCTATACTTCTCCCAGGGCCTTCAGGTGAATAGTTCCTATTGTAGGTATGCTAATTGACTAGAGGAATTCTGTAAAACAGCCTCCTGGATAGATGGCGACAGATGCACAAAGCAATGCCTGTTTGTCAGAGATTTACAGGCATCTCAGGAGTGAACTCAGGTCAGTGGACTCAGATGGAGGGTGGGGGTGGGGTGGGGTCAAGAATATCAAGAACCACCTGGGGACAAAGAGATTGGCAGATTTCCCACCCTTCCTTGTGTCCCACCTTCTTGCCCTGCCCGTTCTCCCTTCCCTTGACATAAAAGATGCTTGAATTCTGGGTTCTCTTAACATGGATTTGAGGTGCCATTAGGTCTCCCACCTTTTCAGCTGGAGCCTTCAGGAACCAATACACCTTTCTTTATTTCACACCATGATGTTTTGAGGTTTGGCCTTTCCATCGGGCACACGGGTTTGAATCCGTAACAGTATCTGAACAGACATTTTTCCAAGGAAGATACAGAAATGGCCAATACCACATGAAAAGATGTTCAACATCACTGTCATCAGGGAAATGTGAATCAAAACCACAATGAAATACCACTTCCCACCCACTAGGATGGCTGTAATTAAAAACACATAAAGTCCACTAATTGAGATATTAATCATTAATGACATGAGAATCTTTTTTTCATGACTTCAAAAATTGGATTTTAAACATATTAAAATACTTACGAGAACTTGTTGCTCTGTATGACTCCCATATGCATTGTATATTGTGATTTATTACTCTCACAGATTTGCAGACAGTTCCTTATTCTCATACTGAATCATGGTACTACAATTTAAGTGAGCAGCTGAATTAATTAATGTCTTCCCTTTTAATAAAATATGGGTGTGGGTCATTTTGAATGCAATTTTCCTTTATTCATAAATCATTTTTCATTCACACCTAATAGCTTAGCTAGATTTTAGCTTTTGATATATTTATTTAAAAATTTTAAAGTTTTTTTTGGCAATGTTTTAAATATAACTGAAAAAGTAAGTGCTAATGCAAAAATTAATGTCCACCCTATTACACTTGGCGCCCATTAACAATTGCCTACACTGCTCACTTTGCTTGCTCAAACAGTCTTTGGTTATTGCAACTTCTTGTTAAGGTGAGATTTGTCTCTGAGTTATGACGTTTTATTGGAATTCATCTAAGTTTAACGCAGACTTAGTGATCTTGACATGGTACCTCTTTCATTTTCATATATTTTTCAAAGCACATTTTTAAATACTATCGTATCTTTTCCCAAAAAAAAAAAAGGCACTTTATAATCTGATAGTAAATTTCCTTCTTTTACCTTTGCAAATGAAAGGTCAAGTTATCTATTATACTATATGGGAACAAATAAATATCAGACAAAACAACAAACTCTCATAAACACATATTTTAAGACCTTTAAAATCCATTTTTTTAAGTCATGAAAAAAGATTCTTAAGTCATTAACGTAGTATCTCAATTAGTCAACTTCCTGTGTTTTTTATTATAGCCATCCTAGTGGATGAGAAGTGGTATTTCACTGTGGTTTTGATTTGCATTTCCCTGATGACTTGTGATGTTGAGCATCACATGGGTACAGACCTTCTGCACAGATAAACCAATAAAACAGAACAGCAGGAAGCTGAAACATGAAGACTACAACTAGTTTGCTGTCTTTGTCTCTGCAAACAAGTAACTGATGTAACTGTGTATCATTTTAGTAGTACATTTTTCATGAGAATTTATATTTCCTCATCTGTTCTCCTTAGTAATAATTTACTTGAGTATTTTTATTCCAGTATCAATAACTGCTATTGCATATAAGGGGAGAGTGAAGGGCACTCAAATTTAGAAGATGTAAGTAATTTCCCAGAAATATCTACTTTGCCACAATAAACGCTGGGGCATATTTGAGCTAATTTATATTTAATAAACCCCCTTCTTTTTCTAAAAGTAATCTTTACTATAGGAAATGTAAAATATAAAAATTTTTAAAAGTTTAAAACCTCCCCCCCAAAAAGTCAAACCAAATCACCCATTATCCATCCTATGACCAACATTAATATTTTGGTAAATATCATTTGTCCTTTTACTTTGGCAAATATACATAAATAAAAAAGGACTCATTACACATACTGTTTTATAATCTGGTTTTTTTCACTTAATATATTTTGAACATCTTCCCATGTCATTACATATTCTTCCACATCATCTTTATTGGCCTATTATTCTGTTTTTATGGCTTAAATATAATTTATTTAATACTCTATTGGACATTTAGACCGTGTTTTCATAATACTTCAGTTGGAAAAAAAAGCACAGAGAATGAGAAGGTCCAAAATGCATCTAATCAGAGCTCTATAAGCAGAGAAAAAATTGGAAGTGATAACGGCTGAGGACTTTCCAGAATTGTTGAAAGATGCCAATGCTCAAATAAAGTCAAAGGATCCCAAGCAGGGTAAATAAAATCTACACTTAGATATATCATAATGAAACTGTGTAACACAGAGATTTATTTAAAAACCAAAAACGAAACACCTCTTAAAAACCAGAAAAAAATATCACCTACAGAAGAGCTAAAATTATTATGCTGGGTACTTGACTTATCAACACCAACAACAGAAGCCAGGAGTTACTGAAATAATATCTTCAATTATTGATAGTAGTGGAGTCTATGACTGCAGAGGAGGCCAGAGGCCAATTATCATAAAGGGCCTGTGCGTATCATAACAGGGACTTTGAGGAAACTAAGAATTTTATGCAAGACAGTACCTGATTTTATAGTAGAAAGCCCACAATCTCTGGCAAGAGAGAATGAGAAGGACCCCATAAGAGAAGAGCAATAAACCCAGACAAGAAATGATATTATAAACCCAAAACAATGGCAATGAGAATGGATAGCAGAGGAGAAATTTTGAAGATATTCACAAATTGGTAACTGATTAGGTAAGCAATAGAGGGTAAGACAAGTATTCATCTGATTTTTGTATAAATTATGAGAACACATTTTTTATTTAGTTCTCTACTATCTTTGATCAGACCATGGTTTCATAAATAAGCTGTTTCATAAACAAATGAATCCAGAAACTTCTTCCCTTCAACTAATTCTACTACGTAGACACCCAAACATAACTCATCTCAAGGCTTCTAAATTTCTAAAACACTGGCCCTGAAAGTGATAAGCCAGGACTGAGGGTCATGCAAACTCTGAAACATCTGCCTGGGTCTACTAATACCACTAACTGAAAACATTAATATCGCTAACTGACAACCGATAATATCTGAATAGTTAGACCCAAGGATAAAGCCTTAAGGAAAACTACTCTAGATTTTTTTCCCCTAACCCTCGGGTCTCCAAGAAATCAGGCTTGCAACATTTATTTTCATGAATACTACCTAACACTTGTAAAGGCTACTACATTTAACTGACTATCTAAATTTTACTTCTTGGGGTATCAAAAATCTCATTTTAACCAGTTTTGATGAAGATTTTTCAAAAATTACATATTTTACCACCTTTAGAAAAAAAATTAGGTACTGTACTCCACATAATGTTTACATCAATTAAAAGTGATCATTTATTTACTGCCCTGTGCTATTTATTGTAATACCTTCAGTAAAACTGAAATGACAGCAAGCAGCCCTACTCCACCAAACAGCTCCGAGGAGCTGTGCCTTTCCACCTGGGCTGCTTTGCCACGGCTCCTCACCAAATCTGCAACCTGTAAAAATCTTACACTTATACCACTATACATACCAAGCCTCCTGCCAGTGTAACGCAGATGGAAAAGACAAATAGCAAAGCTCATTAAATTGTTAACTTATTTAGTCATTCAATTCTACGATCATTTATTAAATAAAAACCACTGAGGACCCAATATACACACAGGGCACTAGGCATGTAGTCCAAGCACTTCCTTTAGGATCTCAGGAGAAATACGCAAACATAGATAATTACAGTACACGGAAGGACTGTGGCTCTGGGGGTGGAGGGAGTTTTGGCAGAGGAAGTCAATATTTGAGCTGAGTCTCAAATGATAAAGAAAAATCATGGCGAGCAGGTGCTAGACAGGTTATTTCAGGCAGAGGAAATTCGCATGACGACTTGTAAGGACTTGGGGTTTTCTGGGACTTGAACCTGGGTCACATGCTCCCAGGTGCCAGGCTCCCTTTGCTTTATGACACTGTATTTAATAACAGGCTTTTGCCTAAGGGCAGCTTCAAGCTGCTTACTTTCTAAGTTACCAATTACTTTCTAGATCAGTCAGTGCTGTCCAACAGAAATACAATGCGACCCACACGTCACTGTAAATTTTCTAGGTGCCACATTAAAAAGTAAAA